CCCATGGCCGCATGTCACCGTAACCTAGCTCTCGATGCTGCACACAGGAGGAACGAGAACGACAAGATAAGGGCATATGGGGAGAGAATTCAAAACGTTGATCAAGGCAGCTTCACTCCTCTAGTGTTCACAACCTCTGGTGGGATGGGACCAAGTGCAAGATGCTTCTACGCCAGACTCGCGGAGATGATCTCCGAACAGAAGCAGCAGCCCAGAAGTTTCGTTTCAGCCTGGATGAGATGTCGACTGTCTTTCTCTCTCCTTCGGTCGGCTTTGCTCTGCCTCAGGGGAACGAGAGCTTCTGCCCCAATTCCGACAACTGCTGCAGATATCGACTATGAGGCTACAGTCACTGAATGCCGCATAGATCTGCGGCTCAACTAATTTAACACAGTTAGGATAGCTTCTTATGTATTAGGATATTTAATATTAAGGTAATTAAATGGTGGCGAAGGTGTGGCTGTTGGGGGAGGCTGGAAGCCACTTAAAAAAAGTAGTAGTAGTAATAGTAGTAGTAGTAGTAGTAGTAGTAGTAGTAGTAGTAGTAGTAGTAGTAGCATTTACCGAGGACTATATGCTGATCGGTCTAGTTTCATTATATGTTTGTTTGTCATTCACGTTCTTTACTCGTACTCAAGCAACGAATATTTCCATGTCAGTTAAAAACATATATATATATATGGTCAGTCTAGTGTGTGTGTGTGTGTGTGTGTGTGTGTGTGTGTGTGTGTGTGTGTGTGTGTGTGTGTGTGTGTGTGTGTGTGTGTGTGTGGTGTGTGGGTGTTGGTGTGTGTGTGTGTGTGTGTGTGTGTGTGTGTGTGTGTGTGTGTGTGTGTGTGGGTGTTAGTGTGTGTGTGTGTGTGTGTGTGTGTGTGTGTGTGTGTGTGTTTGTGTTTGTGTGTGTTTGTGTGTGCGGCGCTACTGACTCTTTCATTACCAGACTCGTACTAGAAAAAAATATTAGTTTACTTAAAAAATAAAAAATAAATAAATAACTTTCTTTCTTGGAGATCAAATTCATACGGGCGAAAAACAAACCAATTTCTGTCACTTACCTGTCCAGTCGCTATACAGGTGTAGACAGACGATGACGGAACCTAGAAGAAAATCAATTACATCTTGAGGAATATTAAAAATTTACTGATTGACGAGAAAAAAATATATGTGTGTGTAATTAGATAAGCGAACGAGCGTAGGATAGAGTGAACGAGCGAAGGAGAGAGTGAGCGAGCGAAGGAGAGAGTGAATGAGCGAAGGAGAGAGTGAACGAGCGAAGGAGAGTGAATGAGCGAAAGAGAGAGCGAATATAAGGGAAGGAGCATATATATTTTTTCTGATGCCGATTTATAAAACGAATCATTCTCGTCATTCCCATAATTCTTATCATTCGCATCATTCTTATTATTCTTATCATTCCCATTATTTGTATCAATCCCACCATTCTCGCCATGCCCATCATTCCCATCATTCTCACCACCCCCATCATTCTCACCACCCCCATCATTCTCACCACCCCCATCATTCCCATCCGTATCATTCGCCCACGTCCTTCCTGTCACCTCAACACACACACATTAATTTCACAGTGATTGAGGCCGATCATTCTACCCACATAAGCCAAGGAATTATAATATGACATTTAACTTGAGTCTCGTCCCCACTGTTGACATTTAAAGTTCATGCTTGATGATAATTACAGGTGTGAATTTTCTTTATCTCTCTCTCTTTCTCTCTCTCTGTCTTTCTCTATCTCTCTCTCTCTGTGTCTTACTCTTTTTTTATAGCTCTCTCTCTCTTCTATCTATCTATCTATCTATCTATCTATCTATCTATCTATCTATCGTGTTCTCTTTATATATCCTAACACAACCAGGTAAATCACATGTAATTATTATTTTTTTCACAGGTAAGAATACATTAGATAATTAATTACTGGGAAATTATTATGAAACCTCCCAGTCTTCTCCTTTTAACTTCCCTCCATTATCATCATTATTATTGTCATTTTTGCCATTATTACAATCATTATCATTATTATTATCATCCATTTCATTATCGTCATCATCTTCATCATCACCATTCTCATTATAATTACCATCATCACCACCACTATCACCATCACTACCATCGCCATCACCATAACCATCGCTACCACTCGCAACACCACTATCACCACCACCACCACCATCGCCACCACTATTAACACCACTATCCTCATCACTATCATCACCACCATCATCACCACCACCATCATCCTCACCACCACCACCATCATCACCACCACCACCATCATCCTCACCACCACCATCACCACCACCATCATCACCACCACCATCATCCTCACCACCACCATCATCACCACCATCATCCTCACCATCACCATCATTACCTCCACTCGGAAGCCATGGTGTCAGCTGTCGCACGCCTTAACGCGGATCATGAAAGAGCACCACTGCAGGCAAAGGGGGAGAAGGAGGAGGGGGATGAGGGGGGAGAGGGAGGAGAGGAGTAAGGAGGTGGGGGAATGAAGGAGGGAGAAGAAGGAGATAGTGGGGGAAATGAAGGAGGAGAAGAAAGAAAGGGAAGGAATGGGGAAGGGAGAAGGATGGAGAAGGAAGAAAGGAAAGGGAGGGGAGGAGGAGGGGAGTAAAGAGGTGAGGGAGGGGGAGGGAAGAGGACTTGAGGGGAAAGATGACGATGAGGGGATAAAAGAGGTGAGGGAGGGGTCGGAGGGGAAGAGGACGGGGGGGGAGGGAGGGGGAAGGGAGGGAGTGGGCCACGCATTTCTTCTGGCGAAAACACGTTATGTCGAGAGGTTGAAGCAGAAAAAAAAGCCAGGCGCTGTCGATTGCTCGTGCTGGCGCAGTGATCTCTGGTGAGGGCGTTCTTATAGTTATGTCATATATTATATTTATAGTTTAAGCTTAACCTTATAAAACACAGGTATGGGATGAAAGGTGAGAGAGAGAGAGAGAGAGAGAGAGAGAGAGAGAGAGAGAGAGAGAGAGAGAGAGAGAGAGAGAGAGAGAGAGAGAGAGAGAGAGAGAGAGAGAGAGAGAGAGAGAGAGAAGAAAGGTGAAAACATCTAGTCGCATGTGTCGAGTGAGTGAAATGTTCGTGGTCGTGGTAACCAAAAGTCAAAAATCATCATCTCCATAACGCTCTGGGTTCTCTCTCTCTCTCTCTGTGTGTGTGTGTGTGTGTGTTTTCGTGCATGGAATAAATATATTACAAACAGGTGAAGTAGATCTGATTAAACTTATCTGGGACCACCTGAATATTAGGCCACCTCAGCTTACTTCACCTCAAGACTAACCTAACCTAACCCTTCAAAAGGCATTAAGGTAAAAATCACAAGAAAAAAATAAACTAGGTGTGTCTTATCTCCAGGTGATTCCTTAGCAGACAGGGTTAAATGTATTCCAGACAGACAGACAGACAGAAAATTAAATAATATATATATATATATATATATATATAACTTCCTAGTAAAAGAAAGGGTCACTGAACTGAGTCAAAGAGCGTGACAGATGACTTTTAATATGATAATAAAAAGAGATTGACAAATATTATTAATCCTTACTAAGTTACGTGTAAAGGGTAGGAATTACCGTAGAGTACTTTAATAGGGGGATACCATGTCTTTGTTGTATGCATGTATGTATGTATGTATGTATGTATGTATGTATGTATGTATGTATGTATCAACACAAAACATAAAAAATAAAAAATTCGACCTAAAATGTTGAAAAAATCCAAAGAAATAATACTAAAATTAATTATAAAACAAGACTTAACCTAACCTAACCTAACCTAACCTAACCTACGACTCACAACTCATGCACCAAAAACCCACCCAAAAAAGAGACTAATTTCACCCTTAATTATCATCATTCTTACCTAATCTTGAAACCAGCTGAGACATTGAATTAAAATAACCTAACCCATCTGTACGAATGCTAAAGACATCTCCCAGACAAACAGACATGGAATTATACCAGATTGCAATATCCGGTCTTCCCCCTTTACCAAATGAGAATAATAATATAAAATAATAATAATATCAGGAGAGCAAAGAGAAAGAATAATATATATGGGTTTTATATAATTTTTTATACGTTGGGCCGAAATATTATTATATGTTACACTGCTCTCTATATTAATTATAAACTCGGGGAAATTAATTACTCGGGTAATTTCAACAGGGGAAAAAATAAAGATTCAAAATACTATGGGGAATATATTCTCATGGAGCATTATTAAATCACATATTTTTTATTTTTTTATTTAGGGGGGAGAGAGGTAGAAGTATGTCATGTAAGTAGACTATATCATGGTATTATTTATATTTCTTTTTTTATATATACATTGGTTTTTTTTGGGGGGGGGATTCCTTTCTGACCGAGGCTAGGAAGGTTACGTGGTGGGTGGGGAAGAAAACTTGAACTAGGGATAAAAAAATATAGGTAATTAAACACTGACTAGATGGCAGTTGAAAAGAAGAACTAGGGATAAAAGAAATAACTAGGGGGAAAACATTTAAACACACACACACACACACACACACACACACACACACACACACACCCCTTGACTCATTACAGTGAAGCTGGACGTAGAGGCTTATCAAGGCTTCACGTGTACAGGTTCACGGTCTATAATACTTAGTGGAGTTATTGCTCGACTGTGTGATATCTCCAGCCCCGAGCGACCTGGATGCACCATCACGGCACCTCAATCGTTGTTGTCGTCATTTTCAGTTTGTAGGTCGGAGAACAACTGGCAGGGTTTTATCTTTTGGTCAGTTGTCGTGTTGTGGGTCGGTGCATGAACATGTAAGGCTGGTCACAGGAGTCAATAAATCATGCATCAGATTTGTTATTCTTAAATTTGTGTATGAAGAGCGAGTAGGATATGTTAGAGGCGTGTGTCTGGCACCGTGGTGCAGCTGGCGGACGCGCGGGGGCCCAGCCACAGCTCTCCAGTTGGACTGATGTCGCGGAGAGGGTGGGTGGTATACTAGCCTGTCCTCTCGCTCCCTGCGTCCACTTCGCTTGGTGAGGCGAAGTTCGGAAGTGCTCCTGTATCAAACTTTCCAAGATCGGATTGATTTTACAAATGTATCACATACTTGGAAAACATATGACGTTGTTAGGCTCGATACATTGTAAATATTACACAGAAAATCGCTAGTTAAAGTTAGGTATCGTCAAGTTTTAGCATTTGTGTAGAAGTAAGAGTTACAATTATCTCAAGCATAGAGAGAAGTTTGGTCGAACTGCTGGACCAACAGATAACCTTCACTCTGAGCAGCACTGACAGAAAATATAAAGTATACTCAAGTCGTAGCTCCTGAATATTAAAAAAAAAATACCCTAATACAGCCAACTTCTGCCTAATATTGTGTAATATCACCAAACGCTGATTCCAAGAAACTGAATCTCAGAATATAATGGTGACTCTTCAACTGATCACTAAGTGGACATAAACTGAATATCCAATCAAATGTTCATACCTTAATCGACGACGTCAACTCAGGTAAGACAACTAATTAGTACTCAAACCTTTTAAGGCTGAGTGTTGACCTTTGCATGAATGATCAATAAAGGAAATTAGTTTTATACCTTGATGGATTTTTTTTTCAAACTGTTTTTATTCTTTTCAACCAACCGATAAATGAGAATAATTGAGTTAATTATTTACCCTATGAATGGAATGTATTTTTTCCATTCGTTTTTTTTTTAGACTATAGTCAGAAATCCCTTAACTATTTAAAGGCAAAAAAAAATCCCTATTATTTTTTTGTCGGATAAGACCACGAAAAAAAAAATCATATATCAGTATAAAGAAGATTTTTTATTTTTTTTTATTTATTAATGAAAGAAGTTACTGTGTATTTACCCTCAATATAAACACGATCATAAATTATACTTGTATACTATAACATTCTAAAATCTTAATACCTATAATTCTACCCTCGTTATCCCAATTATACAGCATTTTAGTATGCATCGGTATCATTTTGTGATATCTGTAGTTCTGTACCCATATTTGTACCCGATATGTTCTGGGGATGTGACATAACCGATTACAGTGCTGCTGAATGAATACAGTCTGTGTATCGGTATAGATTTTCGGTACTGGAACCTGGTATTTATGCATCAGTATCACCCTGAAATATCGGTACTTTTAACCTGATATTTGCATATCGGTATCACCACAGTGTTCCGATACCCGTAATTGTACCTGTGTTGGTGATTGACGATACAGTTACAGCAATTACGATTCATTGTTCCCTTGAAGAACTCGACTACGATAACCCGAGCCAACAGTATACGATATCTCAAGTTCTGGATTCTTAACTTTTTCCCAAATTACGATACTTAAGGGACGAATTTTAAACTGATCTTACGATAACTGACAATACCGATACGATAGCTAGAGTGAAATAACAAAGAAAGAGATGATAGCAGATGTAAAAGGACTCTTAAGATTGTAAAAGAGTTGCGATAGCTAGAAGGAAGAACTCTTACGGTAAAGAGAATTGTATGTTACGATAGCTAGAGTCAAGAATAGTCACCCCACGATAAAAGACTCAACTTAAACTCTACTTACAATACCTAGAGTAAAAATTAAAACCCTTACTCCAAACTTACGATTCCCGGGTAAGAGTTACAATACCTTGAGTGAAGATATCGTAATGAGGTAGAGTTACGATAGCGGTGGAGGGAACACAGTGTGAATATACATGAATGAACACCTACTTTTACAATTTATGAAGAGACGGTAGTCAAGTACAGTGCTGGGATTCACTTGTTACTTTGAACTTACTGTTTTTGTCTTCAACTTAAGCTCAAATTACGATAACAGTAATGTAGAAGTTTTAGTTAGATATAAAGTACTTTGACCATAAATTCGCGATTAACCAAATTTTGTTCAAAGTTAAATGGGATCAAGTGAAGATTAGGCACCTTAGCTTATTTCACCTGATAATTGATTACCCTAAATACTTAACTAACCTAACCTTACATAACTTAACCTAACCTAACCTAACCTAACCTTACTTAACCTAATCTAGGGTAGCTAATATTCAGGTAATCCAAGAATATCACATCCCTTATACTACAAAGCGTTTCAAAAACAAACAGTATTTTATCTAATTCAAAATAAAAATCCGTATTTATAAAGTAAAAGATGTAAATGATAAATGATTAGAATTCCTAATTTTTTTTCCCATTCATCTCTTACCTGATTCCTCATTATAATTACATAGGACTCACTTCCCTGGATAACTCGTATTTTAGCCAGAGGAAAAAAAATGACAAATTGTAATGGATGATAATATTTTAGATACAAAGCTATTAGTCTTTTGTTAGTAGGATGGGAGATGTAGTGTATGTATGTGTGTATGTGTGTGTGTGTGTGTGTGTGTGTGTGTGTGTGTGTGTGTGTGTGTGTTTGTGTGTGTGTAATAAAATTCGCAAAGGTGTATCCCAATGCAGAGAAATCACACACACACACACACACACACAATGCATTCTAACCTACAATTAACATATCCGTCTCAGTACCACAAGCCATAACATTAAAAATATCGCCAGTCATAATTTACGCATCACACAAGAATAATATGAAAATAAATCCAGGTTGTGATAAAAACAGCATATTATTACGTCATTGAGGTAGGGTAGCGGTGACGTCAGTGTGTCAAGGTAGCAGTGATGTCAGAGTGCCAAGGTAGCAGTGACGTCAGTGTGTCAGGGTAGCGGTGACATTATCAAAGTGTCAGGGTAGCAAAGACTTCAGAGTGTCACGTTAGCCTTGACTTCAGAGTGTCAATCTAGCAGTGACGCCAGAACCCAAGCTAGCGGTGAAGTCAGAATGTCAAGGTAGCGGTGAAGTCAGAATGTCAAGGTAGCGGTAACGTCACAGTGCCAAGGTAGCGGTGATGTTAGAAATAAGCTGCCGAACAAACCCTTTCGTGAAATAAGCTTAGTATATATAGGTGAAAACGGCGTAGGTAACAATCTTTAGGTAAAAATAAGCGGGCGAACAAACCTTCACATAAAAATAAGCTGGCGAACCAACCCTCAGGTAAAAATAAGCTGGCAAACCTACCCTCAGGTAAAAATAAATTTAGGTAACAAATTTCCATGTGAACTAAGCTGATTCAGGTGATGTAGCAAAATAGACCCTCCCCCCCAAAAAAAAAAATATATATGTAGATTATAATAAAACCTGAAGGAATATTTTACCATATGCAAATGAGGTAAAGAGATACAATGGAATTTTGCTCCTATTTATATGATATTTGTTCCTGAAGGCGAGGGAACCCAGATAAGACACGACTCCTGAAGCGGAACTCGTTTATTGTATTTGGAATTATAGGGATGAGGTTTTTATAATGACGTTTCTGCGTGTTTTCTTGGTATAATCTGTAGGTTATATAATTTTTCCTAGCCACCTTGAGTACGATGGGTTATCTTTTTGAGGATGATGGTTTAACACCCTTGAGTTCGATGGTTTAGACGCTTGAGTACAGTAGAGTGGTTTAATCTATTGAGTACGATGGTTTAGCCACTTAAGTACGAGGGTTTAGACACTTGAGTACAGTACAGTACAGTGGTTTAATCTATTAAGTACGATGGTTTAACCCCTACAGTACGATGGTTTAACCCCTTGAGTACGATGATTTAGCCCCTTGAGTACAATAACTTAAACTCTTGAGTACATTGTTATCTTATTAAAAGGAAAAAGATTTTGGTACTCAAAGGATTTTAAGTTATTGTACTCAACGGGATTTCATATTCACTTGAGAAATGTAGATGTAATATTGATAAACCTGAAAACGTGTCCATTAAATCGGGATCAATGTTTTATTAAAAAATCTGAACACATATATTCATAAATCTGAGCTAAAAAATCCGCAAATGGCAAAAAAATAAAGAAAACATTCATCTGGCACACACACACACACACACACACACACACACACTACACTACACTACACTACACTACACAAACACAGGAATAAAGTATAGACCATCGCCAGGCGTAGTTGAATTCTCGTGCTGGCGTTGTTAATCAGGGTGCATAAATGAAAGCGAGGAGAACCCAAACTGGACAGAAATTACGACACTCGGTTCTAAGCCCCGTTGAACTGGCAATCACATTACAGCAGCTAATCGTTCACTCATTTTCACGTCGATGGTCAAAAAAGCCTAAATCACGCTTCGACACAGAGATGGATGGACGGATGGATGGATGGATGGATGGATGGATGAATGGATGGGTGGATGGGTGGATGGATGGATAGTGAGAGAAAGATGGATTACTAGAGAGAGAGATAGATGGGTGGATAGGATAGACACAGACGGATAGAGATAGAGACACGGATAGTTAGTGAAAGAGAAAGAGAGAGAGAGAGACAGACAGACAGAGAGAGAGAGAGAGAGAGAGAGAGAGAGAGAGAGAGAGAGAGAGAGAGAGAGAGATATATTAACAATGAACATTACACAAAAGGGGAGGGGGAGGAAGAGGAGGGGTTGACGCAAGACCCTCTCTCCCCTCCCTCTCCCTCTCTCCCCCTCTCCCCTCTCTCCTCCCTATTCCTTCCTCCCCTATTCCTCCCTCCCTTCTACCCAAACCTAAAAAAAAAGAGAAAATAACACGAGAAAGAGTAAAAAAAAAAAAAAAAATCACGCGGTAAAAAGCACACCCACAAAAAAAATAAAACACTTCCTAAAACTCGACTGACACGAGAGATAAAAAAAAACTTGTCGGTTTTATATTTGTGTGAACTGGGTTTGTGGTCGGCTACTAAGAGCCATAGGAATTTCTCTCTCTCTCTCTCTCTCTCTCTCTCTCTCTCTCTCTCTCTCTCTAATAATTGTACGTAAATCATGAACATGTTATTTATTATCATCCATCACGGGAGTAGATAGATGTAATATAATAAATTTGAAAAAAAAAATGCAACATATACAGTTCTTGCATATCAAATCCTAAGAGTATGATGAAAATTATACAACGACACTAAAATACTATAACATAATACAGCCTTTTTCCACGAGTGCATGAGTGAAGAACCAATGAAGAAAAAAAACGTTTATTCTAACTTCGATTCAGTATTATACCTAAAACTATCTACATTAGTACCTATCTTGTTACTAACGTTGTAATGAGGCTTAAAAAAACGTATCTGAACGTTTTTTGTCGTTATATAGTCTGAGTGGAGTTGCTATTACACTAAAAATACGTTTAATCACATTCTATTTTTTTGTGTCTGAATAAGTGAAAGTGACGATATCACGAGAGAAAAAAACCGGCTTTTATCTTTTCATTTTAGTGTCAAAGTGGATGGCAATAATAAAATCCCAGTAGCACAATATTGAGTAAAATCACATTGTAGTTCTATTGTAAAATCCCAGTCGAACAATTATATAGTAAATCCCATTAACTTATACAATAAAGTCCTATTCCTAGTTATAGAGTAAAATCACATTGTAGTTCTATTGTAAAATCCTAATAGAACAGTT